TACATAAAATACAGATATTTTTTATTTTATAAAAAAAAAAACAATTATTAAATTTGCCGTTATCTTTTCAATCAGCGAATATGCATGTAATGAAATTAATACAAAAAGAAAATTTTAATTCTTATTTTCTTCTTGAGACAAAACAATTTGAAACTAATTTAAATTTGGATACCTTTATAAACTTTTATCTTCCTTATATTTAAAAAATCTATTTTATTATGGAAACAAAACTTTAAAACATTTGATAAATGTAAAAAGGTCTAATCATGCTTTAAACTGGTAACAACAATGAGGTAAACAAATCGCATTTAAGATTTACACACCTTTCAACTTGAAAAAGGAAAATATCTGACCTTTCTTCCCTGGATTGTTTTAGGACCACACAAAGAATTGTCCACCTTCCACAGCAATGTGTTCTTCCACCTTGCGCCTCGGCTTCTTGTTTCAGTATCTGCTCCTTCAGCCAATTTAACTGACTTAATTTAACCTCCTGACTCAATTCTCCAACACTTAACACACGAAAATCACTTCTTCAAACATTCATATAACTTCTTCGTGACCCAAGGATCTCTTTTCTCACCTGGTGCCACAACTATTTAACACGTATTCCAGAAACTGCACACTTTAGATTCAAGGATTTCTTTACATCGACTTGCAATCTACTTCTTCCACAATTCTGCTAACAAGACTGGTAACTTTATCCACTTAACAATGCCGGCCTCCAACTCACGAACACACCGCCTGTCGAGACGCAACCTTTCTTTTCGATCACTCAAACATCACTGTCTTCTCGAACCAACAAAAACTCTATCAACCCTCGGTCTGTCGATTTCTCCTTCCAAAAAAATCGTCTCATCACAAAATCCAAATTTGTTTACCACACTTGTTGGAATGCTAATTACCGTTTTCAAGCAAGGAACTTTAATCTTTTAACAATGGTCATTTCCTTGTAAACAAATAATTTTTATACATTTCAAAGATTTTTGCCTTAGTCATAATAGAAGATTTATACAACACAATACCGGACTAATCCTTCAGGTAACAGCTTATTTTCTATAATGTACAAATGGTTTGTCAATAACTCGTTTAGAATGGCTTAGTTCTTTATAAGTCATAAAATTTCGGTACTAATCTATCTATTTACAAATATACAAACTTTCTATCTTAAAATTAATACATATTTTGTCTTCAGATTTCTTAAAAACTTACTTCCGATGGATTCCTTAATTATTTTTGTTCCTTCCGCGTTTGTGGAAGAAAAAGTATAATAATATATATATATATTGTATATATAATAACAATTTGTAACTATTATAGAAAACGGTCCAGTCTATTTTCAAATGTGTTTCTAGAAGGGGCCGAGGCAATGTTATCAGTTATCAGGTTATTCCAGCTCTCGAAAACTCTATTTGGTAGAAAGTTCTGTCTTGATCTTGTAGAGAAGTAGCAAGCAAGCAATTTAATTAAACCCAGCCTGTGAGAAATGTTCACCCCTAAGAATTACGTTCGGGTGTGACAATTCATTGGAGCAAGGTGTAAAAACTCGAGTAAAAACATGAGTCACTTAACTGCGCTCCAATGCTCCAGACCATCCCTTTCCCCCCTATAGCACTCTGATGAAAAAATTATGGGTACATGTTGAACTGATTTACTGACAGGTTTAGAAACAATTGCATATCATTAGAAAAAGTGTCCATTTTAAAATGTGATCCCATCGTGCAAAAAAATAAATCTTCAGAGATTTTTAGAATCTTATCGTAACATCCAGCTTTCAATGAAGTAGACATTTAGATTGCATATATAGCAGGTCATGTTGTTCACTAATTGAAAACAAAAATATTATGTGCCGAATGTTCGAATGCATTAATTAATACAACAAAATATGTATACTTTTTTTCCTTTATAAATAAAAAATATAAAGGTAGCTTGGAATATCTTTCAACACAACATATGTATTCAACATTTGTTTAAAATCTGAAAAATTTTAAAAAATAAAATAATAGATTCAAATTGTAAATATATTTCAACTGAAGTAATTGTTGTTAAGAGCTTATGTGCAAAATATTGAGCCAATGCTTTTTAAATGCATTCATTTTTTTAAACTTGAAAAAACTAATAAATATTTTTGAAAAATTTAAACACAATGAAAGATTACATTATTACCGAGAGTGGAAAATCCCTTAAAATGAATAAAAACAAATTATTTAGTGTCCACTAAATAATACCACTTTATTAATAAGAGGTCTCATACTGAGAGATTTGTCAGTCTTACTCTTGCACATATAGAACATCCTAATATCAATATAGCGGCTTGCTACAGCCTTTATTAGGAGTATTCTGTGATTATCTGAGAATTGTTGATCAATGCTATGACTAAGTAAATTTAAAAAGATGTCTTTGTTTATGTACCTCCCTAAAACTTTTGTAACTAAATCGTTGGTACTCATACAAGTTGGAGAAGGGATTTCTTTTAAAATTTTCTCAGCCATAAAGCATATATCAATTACACTTTCAGATGGATATTGCAATCCTTTTTTATTTTTTTTTATCAATAAATGAAAATAAAAAGTTGTTCCGAGTGACACTTACTAAGGCACTTAAACATTCACTACAGACTAATCTTTTTTGTAAGTAAAACACAACATAACCAGCAATGTATGTAATTATGCTTTTAGAGTATTGAGAGAAAGGATTGATATAGCTGTGATCATGATCAATTATATCTACTGACACATCAGTATCACAACTATTACTCAATCTATATTCTCTGGAAGTGATATTAATGTGATCGGTGGGATTGCATTTTAAAATATTTAAATCTTCTAAAGGAAAGCAGTTACCACTAAATTTATTTTTCAGTTCAACATGAACCAAAATTTTTTTATAAGCTGACTGAAAATGTCTAGCACTTGGGTTATTATTATAACCGCCTTGTGCTCGAACTGAACTAAAAAACAATTCTAGATGGTCTTGTGATACCTTATAAAATGGTAAGTACTTTAAGGCAGAAGGAACAACTAGCTGGCCAAAAAGAATTTTTATACTGGATATGCATATTTTTAATCCAAGAAATCCAGTAAAACAACCTGTGTCTAAAAGTAGTTGTTCATGACCTAAAGCTGCTTTTAATTGACTAATATATTTGTCTGCTTCATTTAAAAACTTCTCTGTCTTACTATAATTATTTAAACTTAAAGGCTTTTTAAAGCCATGCTGCAACAAACTGTTGGAATTAAGTATATCAAACAATTTATTCATGATTGTTACAAATCTAACAGTTGCTTCAACTCCAGAAAATTGTGACATACCTAATTCATTATTGCAAAAGTCTAAAGCTACTGCAACACTTTCGCTGAATACCTGAGTAGCCAGTGACACTTTCATTTTTTGTCTACCAAAATAAATATGTTGGGCCTTTAATTTATTGGCTAAATGAAAAGATTCACTCTGTTGGAGATTATATAACTCCTTAAAATACCTCCATTCAACTAAATCATTATTGTCATCTACAAAACTAAATTTATTACCTAAAGTGTTACGAACTAATTTAATCATATGACTAGGATCTAAAACTATAACGACATCTTTATCTGTACAAGGATGTTTAAAAAAAGTTTGTAGGGATAAATGATTCAAATTACATCCTAATAGCTTAGCCATTGTAAGATTAACTGGAGCCCCGTCAAAAGTAACACTTACAACATCTACACCTACCTCATGGCACTTTTGCAGACACTCCAGAACCAAACATTTTTTCTGTTCTCCAGTGCAGCCAGCTATCAAAAAATATCCTACAGGCATTTTCCAGGAACCATTAATACAATTAACCATAAATACAAGGACATTTTTGGCTAACACTAGTTCCTGTATACCTGTACCTATGTCAACATACCCATAACATTTTTTTCCTGGAACCCATTCTTCTTGTTGCCGGATAGACATTTCATCAAATATCAAACCACATATTACTTTCTCACTAGAGGAGTTGACTTTTAATTTTAACGCATCAAAGGATTCCTTCGTAAAACCAGGTTCCCCATCAATTGCTGTATACCATCTGCTTAGAGTCCTAGGATGGGGTAAACAAGTATCAAATGTTCGCCTAACATATTTATAAGCCGCAGGTGAGTAATAGTGTAGTGTCAGAGCAAATGTTCGCAATTGCTCTGAATACCGCTTAGGTAGCGCTTTATTTCCCACTTTTTTTAATTGCCTTAGAAGAAATTCTTTAGGTGCTTCTAATTTTTCAAGAAGATCCAATGTTTCCTCTTGAACCAACCTTGTTTTCTTGAGCTTCTCAATTACATTCTTCATGTTGGCTACTTGTTTCTCACATCTTTGTAGTTTTCGACGAACATTTCTTAACCTTCTTTTTCGTTCACTACTTACTTTCTGTGAATGAACCTCTCTTACATATCTCTGGCACAGAATAATAAACAAACAGAATACCCACTCTCCACGGAAAATTAAGTACGCGCATCTCCTCCGCGCAGACGTTCCGCCATGTTTTAGGAGGATTTTAAAGAAATTAGTGTTGTTTATGTGGTGTGCATGGAAAAATTAACCAGGTTTATTTGACTTACGGCAATCATAGACATACTATACAATTATATTAACATTGTTAAATATAGTAACATAAATATAATATAATTAAACATAAATATAAACAATTACATAACCACACAAATCATATGTCTGTGTCCTCCTAAAACATGGCGCGCGTGCTGAAAATCTTCAAAGGCGGCATCTGAGAGTGGCCCTTCTGATTGTTTATTATTCTGTGTCTCTGGTTTTCCCGAAGATATCGTCCATCTTTACATTCTTCAGCACCCCCTATCGGAATTGGCTATCGCGAATAGTTTGTTTTTAAGTGTTGTTTATAAGTCATTTGTCATATTGTCATTGTCATACAAATTATTTGGATTATTTGTTGACAATACGAATTTTTTTAAACTGTTTGAATTTCAATTAATAATATAATATATCTATTTAAATTTGAAATGGAGTGGAATGAAGATATTAAAGATTCCATAAACCACCAAATATTAACATGTATTAAAGAAGAACGAGATTGTCTAAAGCAATATAATAACACAGAAGTTAAACCTGAAGAAGAGGAATATCATTGTAACAACAGTAATAGAGGTGATCCTGTATTAGATGATTATTGTTCAGATGATATTAAAATAGAAAATCATATATTACAAGATGTAACTAGTGAAATTAAGGTTGAAATAAAAAAAGAACTAGAAAAACATATGGATGATATAGATGACAAATATGGTAAGTACATTTTTCAAAAATAAATAAAAAAATATAATATATGCTGAGTTTTCACTTTCAACTTAATCTTTGTTGTGCCCAATTATGGTAACTGACAAGGATAATACTACAGTACTACAATTGTTCCATGTGCCCTCACCTTATTAGGATTCTTCAACCATATCCTACAAAATGTTGTATGTGATACTTACCACATTTTGCCACTAGGACCTGTAAACTGGTGGGTAACAGTTGTATTTGAGAAATTCATGAGTTGATCATGGCATGTTTTGTGTAGTTTTAAAGATACTTTACTGAAAAACAGTGAAAATGTCTAGCCAGGAAGGTGATTTAGTTGAACTTGCTTGTGGATAATTTAATAAGTGGTAAGTAGTAATTAGATTAAATAAATTATTTAAAAACATAAGCTTTTTAGTTACATATATATGTTATTTAAGTTCTTGTGTGCTATTCTGACAATATTTATTACTTTCAGATAAAAAAACAAATGAAGATTTTTCTGAAGCGAAAGTGCAACAAACTGATTATGATACATGAGTAGCTACAAATGAGACTGAAGCTGTCAATTTTACAAGTGATTTTTTATCAATTGATCATCCAGAACAGTCTTGACCTTGCTTCCTGTGATTAACTCAAGACAGGTATTTAATTAAAAGAACTAAATACCTAGCTCCTAGTTTTCTATATTATCTTAAAGTTGGGATTTTTATGCACAAGAAATGCTTTAAATATGCACATAAATATGTTAAATTATTTGCTTAAATATATGAAATATATACATTGTTTTTATCATTTATATATTTTTATACATTTCATTTTTGACCAATTTTTGCTTACTGAAATCAAGGTAAGGGTAGTAAAACCACAAACGGTAATTTATATTATGATTGTACATAGAAAATAAATATATTCTTGAAATCAAAGTTTTATCACTTATTAATTAATTAATTATTAACTCTCACAAACACATCTACTAAATTTGGTATTCTACTAATTAATAGTTATGTATTAAAGATTACTACTACTCCGTGGCGTTACAACCCTTCGTGGGTTTTAGCAGACTCGACAACATGCCTCCACTGTTTTCTGTCTTGAGCAACCTCCATCGAATTCTCCACGCCCATAGTGCTTAGGTCTCCTGCTATATTATCTCTCCACCGGAGACTAGGGCGTCCGCTGTGGTCTCCTTCCAGTTGGAACTTCCTCCCACACCAGTCTTACTGTTCGTTCGTCAGAATGTCTTCTGAGGTGTCCTGCCCATTGGAGTCTTCTGAACTTTATTTCTTTTATGATGTTGGCGTCTGGATAAAGTTCTTCAAGCTCTTTATTAGTTCTTTTCCTATATTGTCCTGATGCTTCATCAAGCACCGGACCAAAGATCTTCCTTAGGATTTTTCTTTCCCAAACATGTAGTCTCTCTTCATTTGCCTTTGTCATCGTCCACGTTTCGCTTCCATACATCGCAATGGGTCTTATGATTGTTTTATAGACCTGTATCTTCGTACCTCATGTTAGTTGTTTTGATTTTATAAGGTTCTGGAGGGCAAAAATACATCTGTTGCCGGCCTGAATTCTGTTGTTTATTTCTTGTAATCCTTTATTGTCTTCAGTTATTGTTGTTCCAAGATACTTGAATCCTCTAACTCACTCAAAGTTAAAGTCATCGTTAAAGTCATGTATTAAAGATTGTTAAGTGTAAAGTTTTGTCTCCTATTGTTCAAGATATTTTTAAATGATGAAAATGTCCTTTCAGAATCAATGAAAGTGATGAGTGCATATTTAAATGATGCCAGATGTTGGGAATCAATTGAAAACTATAATTTGAATCATGAATTATCCTATCTAAAGACAAAATTTTTGGTATTTCTTTTATCATTTGAAAACCTTCACTCTGTGTCACTAAGATGTTGTCAACCCTCCATATAATATTTTTAAATACAGTAGAACCCCAATTATCAGTGCTTGATAATTGTAATGCACGGATAATCTGAATAATGTACATACATACATATATACCTATCATAAAAAGTTTACACAGAAAAAACGAACTCATAAGTTTAAACTAACTTTTATAGTACATAAAAACTTACATAACAGAACAAAAACAGATTTCTACTGAAATAAATTTTTATATTAAATAATAAAAATAAAATTTACATAAAAGTATTATATATTTTAGGTGGCTACGCTTTTGAAAAAAAATCAGTCACTTTGTTTTGGATTTTTTATAATTTTCTAACATATTTTGTACAAATTTAAAATATCGACAAAGTCTATTACAAACATTGAAAGGTTCCTCAGCCTTTTGGTTAGTTATTCTGTGCATTAATAATGTTCCATCATTGTCTTCATCTTGACTCTCATTTTCGGATGAATCAGGTTGTGACATACCAGGCTGATGGGAAAGCAGTTCGATAATTTTGTCGTTGCTGAAGAGCTAATAGCCTGACTAATTTTTATCACACGCTGTCCATCACTCAACCTCGGTTTCATCAATTTCTTCAAACACATCGGCGTTGCACACTAGTGCAGTTAGTTCAACTATTATAGTGTATTTATCATCATATTCCATGATACTTTCATCTTCCTCTAGCTTCATTATTTTGTAAAAATCTCTTTTAATAGTGGTCTCTTTCACTACATTCCATGCATTTGCCACTGTAAAAATTGCATCTTTTATGGTGAATGATTTACAAAACTTCATCAGATGAACTTCATCTACAAGTTCATCATAAATTCTTTTCGGTAGAATTGTTTCATTGTCTCAATAACACCTTGATCCATTGGTTGAGCAATAGATGTAATATTGGCTGAAAAACAAAAGGACAAAAAAATTTCCATCGTCAGATATTAGAGTCGCCTCATTGGGATGAGCACCAGCATTATCCAGAAGAAGAACCACCTTTTGTGGTAATTTTTCTTTCTTCAGATACAACTACTTCAGGAAAAAAACTTTTCATAGTATTGTTTTGAAGCTATTTTCTTGTGGCATTTTAAAGTAATTACTATTTAAATGGGAATAAGTCACAATTAAAGGTTTAAAATACGTTTATTGACGTTTCAATTTCCATTTCGGAAATCATTCTCAAAATACAAACGATTTTTTTATTTTGACAAAAATGACCCTGCATTAACTAGGTACTAAGAGTTATTAGCAGAGGTACAAACACAAATTACAAGTATTTAATTTTTTACAATGTATATATGTATAACTTAAATATGTTTCTATTAAACACTGTAAAATTTAATATCTTTCAAATATTTCAACTTAGTAGCTGGCAGCTTAGTAGATCCTTCATGTTGGTAGATAAGTTATTTTTTCTTCTTTCTTGGGTGTATGTTTTGCATTCTAACATAATATGTTTCACAGTGATTTGGATCTTGCAGTTGTGGCAGAAAGGGATGGCTTCTTTATTTATTAAGTGAATATGGGTTGGTATAGTATGTCCTAATCGTAGTCGAGTTATTATCACTTATTCACAACGTTTGAGTGGGAGTGGTAAGGTGGTGCCGACAGTTTCTAAAACATCTTTTAATTTGTTGGATGTAGAATTCCAGGTACACTGCCATAAGTTGGTAATATGTTTTTTAATGGAGGTTTTATGGTAGTTTCGTGTTATCATGTGTGACACAGTGATGCTTTCATCTAGTGCAGCTTCATTCGCAAGTTGGTCCACTGCTTCGTTTCCCTTGATTCCCACGTTGATGGCACCCATAAAAAAGTTATTTCTATATTTTTTGTTGATAGTAGTATGAGTTCATTTTTTATTAGCATTATAATTTTATTTGATGGATACAATTGCTGTAAAGCTTTTAGTGTACTTAATGAGTCAGATATTATAATATGAGGTGCGGATTTTCGTCTGCAAACTTTCAGAGCCTCTAAAATAACCATTGTTTCTCCAGTAAATATGCTACAACACCGGAGGGAGTCGTATTTTAAAGTGGTCTGCTCCAAGTATGTAAGCCGCTGCTAGTCCTGATTGAGTTTTTGATGCATCAGTGTAGATATGTTCAGAATTTGGAGATAGGGATATTATTTCATGGTATGATTGATGTATTACTGTTGGGTTAGTGGATGTTTTGGATTTAATTTTTATTAGAAATTACTTAAAACAGTTTGTTTCGTTTGTGTTTACGTTATTATAATAGTAAAAGTTTAAATAGGATTAAGATTTTAAGATTTTATTTTAATAATGCAAGGGCTCTGTTTTTCGTGCCGATGAGTGCATGTATTATTTTTTCTTATAATGTCGGCACTTGCAATTAAAATATTTTAGATACTAAATACATATTTATAAATTTTGGTTACTTCATGTTTTATCTTGTTATTTCTATATAATAAAATTTTTATAGTTTGGTTTGTTTTAGGTATTTCGCAGAAAAAATTATTGGAAAGGGAAGGTACGAAAACAAAACTTCATACATGTGAAATTTGTTTTAGGCAATTGACTACAGCAAATAATTTGAAAGTTCATTTGAGAAGGCACACTGGAGAAAAATCATACCAGTGTGTAGTTTGCTTTAAGCAGTTTACTCGGAAATATTGTTTGGATCAACATTCGAAACTGCACCTTGAGGAAAAGCCGTACAAGTGTGAAATTTGTTTTAAGCAATTTAATCAAGCAGGTCATTTGAAATTGCATTTGAGAGTGCACACTGGAGAACAGCCTCACAAATGTGAAATTTGTTTTAAACAGTTTAGTGGAAAAGAAACTTTAAAAACCCATTTGAGAACACACACTGGAGAAAAACCTTACAAGTGTGAAGTTTGCTTTAAGCAGTTTCCTCGGAAATATTCTTTGTATCAACATTCGAAATTGCACCTTGAAGAAAAGTCGTACAAGTGTGAAATTTGTTTTAAACAATTTTATACAGCAAGTAATTTGAAAAGTCATTTGAGAGTGCACACTGGAGAAAAGCCTCACAAATGTAAAATTTGTTTTAAACAGTTTAGTAAAACAGGTACTTTAAAATACCATTTGACAACACACACTGGAGAAAAACCTTTCAAGTGTGTAGTATGCTTTAAGCAGTTTACTCGGAAATTTTCTTTGTATCAACATTCGAAACTGCACCTTGAGGAGACTTCGTACAAGTGTGAAATTTGTTTTAAGCAATTTAGTCAAGCAGGTCATTTGAAAGTACATTTGAGAGTGCACACTGGAGAAAAGCCTCACAAATGTGAAATTTGTTTTAAACAATTTAGTAGAACAGGAACTTTAAAAGTCCATTTGAGAACACACACTGGAGAAAAACCTTACAAGTGTGTAGTTTGCTTTAAGCAGTTTACTCGGAAATATTCTTTGTATCTACATTCGAAACTGCACCTTGAGGAAAAGTCGTACAAGTGTGAAATTTGTTTTAAGCAGTATACTACCTCGAATAATTTGAAAAACCATTTGAGAGTGCACACTGGGGAAAAATCTTAAAAGTGTGATGTTTGTTTTGAGCAGTATAACCAACACACATAATTTGATAAAGCACGAGAAAAATCTTACCAGTTTGAATTAATATTTATTGTATAAGCTTTCTGT